TATCCATGAAGCCATACTGACATGAATAAATAATTAAATAAATAAGTAAGTGAGGAGAATAGATAAATCTGCATGCAGAATCCCAAATAAAGTATATATCAATAGATAGTCCAACTGTCAGGAAGTGGTAGCATAAGCCCTGCCTTAACTGAGGGTGACACATAGTCATTTCCTCCCAAGGAGTACAGTACAGAAAGGGGGAAAGAAGAGTAACTTTACAGTGGAAAACCTAACAAACACTACCTCATCCAGCTGACCAACATCTGCATCAAAAGTTATAAATCAGGTTGATAGTATTTTTCATTGATATGATGTGATGAAAATGGCACTTTACCTCCATGGATATCCTCCCAAGAACATAGAACCACAATCCAGTCATGAGAAAAACATCAGCAAAATCCCAACTGAGGAACTTTCTACAAAATACCTAATCAGTACTCCTTAAAACTGTTAAAGTCATCAAAAATAAGGAAAGTCTGAGAAACAGTCACAGCCAAGAAGAGCCTAAGGATATTGGGCTAATAAATTTAATACAAGGTGATCATAAAGTTTGTGTGCAATTTGAACTTTATGTTCACCCAGTATAGTATCCTGGAGAGGATCCTGGAACAGAAAAGGGACATTAGGCACAAACTAAGGAAATTATTGAATAAAGTATGGACTTTAGCAACAAATGTATTATATTAATGTTTTTTGTTAATAATAAGGGAAATTGCATATGGAATATATACAATTACCTGCATTATCTTAGAAATTTTTCTTCTAAGAAAAAATTTCTTCTAGAAATTTAAAACTCTTCTAATGTAAGTGTATTTTTTAAAATGAACAAAAGATTTAAGTATATGTTTCATAAATTAAGATGCATAAATGACTAGTAAGCCCATGAAAAGACACTTAACTTCATTAGTCATTAAGGAAATACAAATTAAAACTACAGTGAGATAACCACACACTTGAATGACTATAATCAAAAAGAAAGCTAATAACAAGTATTGACAAGTATGGAGAAACTGAACCTTCATACATTTCTGGTGGGAATGTGAAATAGTACAACTGCTTTGGAAAGAGGTTTGGCCATTTCTTACAAAGTTTAACATACATTTACCATATAACTGAAGAATTCCATTCCTATGTATCTACACGAACTAAAATAAATATCCTTCCAAAGGTTTTAATGAAAATATTAGTGGCAGCATTAGTCATAGTAGTCAAGAAGTGGAAATAATCCAGATGTCCATCAGTGGATACAAAATGTGGTATGTCCATACAATAGAATGCTATTCAGTAAGGGAACTGCTATAATTTATATATAGATTATATATAGATAATTATAATATATAATTTATATATTTTATAGTAATTATATTATAATGACCTATTAATGATTATAACCCATAATCCTAGCACTTTGGAAGACTGAAGCAGGAGGATTGCTTGAGGCTGGGAGTTCAAGACCAACCTTAGCAAGAGCAAGATTTTGTCTCTACAAATAGAAAAATTAGCTGAGCAGAGTGACAGGCGCCCATAGTCCTAGCTACTTGGGAGGCTGAGGCAGAAGTATCATTTAAGCCTGGGAGTTTAAGATTGCAGTGAGGTTGAAAACAAAACGTATTTGTTTTCATAGGGTTTTTGGTGTTGTTTTATTTTTGTTTTGAAGGAGTTCATTTGTTCGTTTGTTTGTTAATTTTAAGGCTTCTATCTTTCATATAGGCTTTCCTGTCATTTTTTTCTCTTTCATTTTCTTTATTTTTCTTTCCTCTTTCACTCTATCTTAGATTTCTTTCTAATTTTTCCGATCTTTCCCTCATAAATTTCTTAAATGACTACAATTTTTTTTTGTTTGGTTTGTTCATTCTTTCTTTCTTTCTTTCCTTCCTTCCTTCCTTCTTTCTTTCTTTCTTTCTTTTCTGGTCTGTTTTGTCCAGCTTCATTCTATTTTCTATTTCGGAGACACAGCCTTGACCTGGGGCATTGTGGCATCAACCTCACTCTTTAAGGCCTCAAACCCCTGTGTTATTGAGTCCTTCCCGATTGAATTTTCCCAACGACTGCAGACACAGGTCCTCAGCATGTCATGGTCTTTCTCCTTCTCTTTTCCATATTTGATGGTGGCAGTATGTCACACTTGATCAGGACAGTGATGAGCACCTGATCTCAGAGAATCCTTCTGCCCCAGTCCTCTAGAGTGTGATTCCAGGTGCAGGTCACTGTCCTCTGCCAAACACCATTATTATTATCATTTCTTTCTGTCTGTCTTTTCTCCCTTCCTTCTTTTTTTTATTGTTTGTTTGTTTTATTGTTTTTGTTGTTGTTATTGTCTTTTCTTTTACATCTTTATTTCTGTCTTTTCACCCATCTCTCTTCTCTCCATTTCATCTATGTACCAAAAGGACACTTCAGCACTCAGGTACAAGGACAGGGAAATTAAGGAGAAGGAGGAAGTGAGAGGACTAGTAAGAGAAGCAAGTAAACAAGAAGAAAACATACACGAGGTGAAACCATCACAAAATTTCTGGCAACATGAAAAACCAGAATACATCAACCCCCAAAGGGATCATGAGGTAGCACACAGAAGATCCCACCTATAAAGAAATTATGGAAATGACAGAAAGAGAATTTAGAGCATGGATGGTAAAAACAATCAAAGGAATTGAAGGGGAAATGAATAACTATGAAAAGGAAGTCAAAAATCAACCCAAGAAATGAATGAAAGACATGATAAAATCAGAAAGGATATATCAAAGATTATGAATTTGAAGGAGTCATCCAGACAATTTAAAGGTACATTAGAAAGTATCAATGGGGGGCAAAGGTGGCTCTGCAGCACAACCTAGGCATTGGGGGAGCTGTGGTCGTAACGATCTACAGGATGGGTTTTCCCGAAGCTGCCAGTTCTTTTCGAACTCATCAAATCGAGGCTGCTCCAACCAGCTCTCCAGGTGATGGATTTAAAGCAAATGTTGTCTTTAAGGAGATTGAGAAGAAGCTTGAAGAGGAAGGGGAACAGTTTGTGAAGAAAATTGGTGGTATTTTTGCCTTCAAGGTGAAGGATGGCCCTGGGGGGAAAGAGGCCACCTGGGTGGTGGATGTGAAGAACGGCAAAGGATCCGTGCTTCCTAACTCAGATAAGAAGGCTGACTGCACGATCACAATGGCTGACTCTGACTTACTGGCTTTAATGACTGGCAAAATGAATCCTCAGTCGGCCTTCTTTCAAGGCAAACTGAAAATCACTGGCAACATGGGTCTGGCTATGAAGTTGCAAAATCTTCAGCTTCAGCCAGGCAAAGCTAAGCTGTGAAGAAGTCCCTTTGACTACTTTTGAAAATCAAGATGAAATATATAGCTAACATATCCATATATTTCATTGTGAGAATTTAGACTGAAACTTTACATTGGCAAATTGTGTGAGACAGATTTGTTTTTCAGTTGTATGACCAATCCTGTTTTTCCTAAGCTCTGGGTGGATAGAGCCTGATGGTGTACTGCTGCCTTGCTGAGCTGCAGACAACTGTGCATTACAAAGTTAATATGGTAATTATGGTTTGGGGTAAAACTGAGTTTCAGAATAAAATTAGGAAGAATAAAATCCAAAAAATTATGTAGATAAAAGCTCTTATTATGCTTATAAAGTATATTTAGGGATTATTCTGCTGAATATTCAATTTAAGAGTTTTCCTTGGGAGAACTAGTAAAGAAACAGTTCCAATAACTGGTCAGTAATTAGTGTTGTGCACTTAATGACCTTAATTAATGTCTCATAAATAGTGCTGAAAATTCTGCACTGGGATGATTAAAAAAAAAAAAACAACCTAAACATTTTCCATTTCAAAGAAAATTTTGCTTTTCATGCCATCAGAAACAGTATTTTCTTCCCAAATTAAAATAAAAGAAATACGATCACTTCTTGGGAGGAGGGATGTGTAGCTGAACACAAGCTTATTTTTAAAATAAAAATATTTTAAAACTGGGTTTCCTTCTTGAAAAATATGTGTATTAGAGTCATAAAACCCTGTTAAAAATAAAGTTTACTTTGAGATGCACAGTTTTAAAATTATAATCTCCTATTCAAATTTATAAAGCTCTTGATCTTTTGTTGTAATTTTCATGTGTGTTTAAGTATCTGCATTTATCTTTTTTCCTAATTTTCTAATGCTAATGTTATTTCTTATAATTCAGTAACATAGAGGATAAAATAATGCTTTTGGAAGAATGTTTAGAAAATTAAAATGGTTCTTCCTGGAAAAAAAAAAAAAAAAAAAAGAAAGTATCAATGACAGATTAAACCCTAGAGAAGAAAGAATCTCAGAGCTGTAAGATAAGGCTCTTGAGCTAACTCAAGCATTTAAAGAGGAAGAAGAGAAGAGAGTAAAAGCAGAGATAATCCGACAGAATTATGGGACCTCAAAAAACATACAAATATACAAATTATATGTATTCCTGAAGAAGAAGAAGAGAGACCCAAAAGTATGGGAGCCCTACTAGAGGATACTGTAAGTGAACATTTTCCAAGCATCACCAAAGATTCTGACACACTCCTCTTACCGCAGTTCATCTCACTAAAAGACAAAGCATCTCCTAGACACATTGTAATAAGCCACTATACTTCTGGCAAGGCAACAAAGAAACTGACTTAAAAAATAATAATAAACAAAAATTTAAAAGATTTATCTAGTTCCTTATAAATGAAGAATCAAATACTAACAGTGACATAATGATGGTTTATGAAACTATCTGTGTTATTTTTTCAGATTATCTTTCCAGTGAAATTATCTCATATTTCAAGAGGCTATGAGAAAATGAAAATGTTAAATGTGGATGAGTATCTTATAAAACTTTGATAAAATACTTAAATTATATTTAATATATTCCAAAAAATGGGAAGGTATTCCAAGGTATTTTCACTTGTCAAAATTTCTAGCACAAATAAACAAAAAACTGTACATTGAAAGATTCCCAGACAATATATAGATGGCATCTGTTGTATTTTTTTCCCTAAGATTGGAATAGATGGATGTGGAAAAGAAACCTGTGCAACCTTAGCCTGTTACGTGGAAGATAACAAACTATATCGAGTCTCTATATCTCACAATTACACCCACATAGAATTCAGAGAAGTCTTAAAAAAGGTGTTTAGTCAAGCAGGATTAGAAGGGAACCGGACTGTTCTGATGGTTCTTAATTTAATCCCAGGACAAGTAAGTACTTTTTGTCTTTATTATTTGCTAAAGTTTTATGTTTATTTAGCCCCCTTCAGAAATTTAATACTTGAAAAGAAAATATTTATCTATAGTCTCATTAGCCTACCATATAAATTCTTTACATTATTCTCTGTTCTTATCCAGCCATAGCCCACAGAGTTTGTATATTTGTAATCATGCCACAGAATGTTTTGAATAAACATTACAATGAAAATATTTTCTAAGTCTTTTATCATTTTAATTTGAATTAACAAGTTGGAAGTAATCTAAGTAATCACATATGTAGCTGAAAGTATCCATTTTATATCAGAATAAATCCTGTATCTGTTTTATATAAAACTATTTTCTGTGTCCATTATCTATAATCTACAGTGTGTGCTTTCACCCCTGAGGCTTATGTTTCTCTCCTTTACTCTTCTGCTTTAATTTCACATCAGGCTTAGGACTTTCCTTACAGAATACAAATTTTGTCCAATACATATTTTTACATATTTTTTTCTAGGTTTGTGGCTTGCCCATACCCTCCTTTTTTCTTAACTTAATAACAATAATTATGCATACTATGGAGTACATGTTTTGATATGCTCAGTGTGAGGCAATCGGATTAGGGTAATTAGCATATTCATCATCTCAAATACCATTTCTTTGTGTTGAAACTTTTAATATCCTCCCTCTAGCTATATGAAAGTATAATGTATTGGGCAGCGCCTGTGGCTCAAAGAAGTAGGGTACTGGCCCCATATACCGGAAGTGGCAGGTTCAAACCCAGCCCCGGCCAAAAGCTGCAAAAAAAAAAAGAAAGTATAATGTATTATTAATAACTATAATTATCTTATAGTGCGATGGGACACCAAAAGTGTATTCCTCCTATCTAGGGGTAATTTTGCATCCTTTAGCAAATCTCTCCCTATCCTTCTCTTCCCCCTACACTTGCCAGCCTCTATTATCTTCTGCTCTACTTTTTACTTCCGTGAAATCAACTTTTTTAGCTTCCCCATATGAATGAGAACATATAATAGTGTTTAGCTTTCTGTTCTTGGCTTGTTTCCCTTAACATGTCATCCAGTTCCACCCATGTTACTGTGAATGACAGGATTTCTCTTTTTATTGCTGAATAGTATTCCATGGTGTATATACATCACATTTTCTTTATCCAGTTACATGTTATTGGACAGACACCTGCATTAATTGAATATTTTGACTACTGTGAATAGTGCTGCCATACATGGGTGTGCAGATATCTTATTGATATACTGACTTTGTTTTCTTTGGATCAATTTCCAGTAGTGGAGTTGCTGGAATATATGCTCATTCTATTTGTAGTGTTTTAAGAAACGTCCATGCTTTTCTCCATAATAGCTGTTTACATTCCACCAACAATGATAAGAGTTCTCTTTTCTCCACATTCTTACCAGCATTTGCTATTTTCTGTGTTTTTTATAAAAGCTATTCTATGGCTCGGCACCTAAAGCTCAGCAGCTAGGGCACCAGTCACATACACTGGGGCTCAGGGGTAGAACCCAGACTGGGCCTGCCAAACAATAATAGCAACTACAAAAAAAAAAATAGCTGGGTGTTGTGGCAGGTGCCTGGAGTCCCAGGTGCTTGGGAGGTTGAGGCAAGAGAACTGCTTAAGCCCAAGAGTTTGTGGTTGCTGTGAGCTGTGATGCCATGGTACTCTACTGAGGGCACCTTAGTGAGACTCTGTCTCAAAAGAAAAAAAAAAAGAAAGAAAAAGAAAAACTATCCTAACTGGGATGAAATGGTGCCTCATTGTGGATTTGGTTTGCAAGTCCCTGATGATTACTGATGTTGAGCTTTTTTCATATAGTTGTTGGCCATTTAAGTGTCTTCTTTTGAAGAATGTCTGTTCAAATCATTTCCCCATTTTTTTTAATTGAATTGTCTGGGTTTTTGCTATTGAGATATTTGAGTTCCTTGAATATTCTTGGATATTAATTCCTTGTCTGATAAGTAGTTTACAAGTATTTTCTCCAGTTCAATATGTTGTCTTTTCTCCCTGCGGACTCTTTACTGTGCAGACAACTTTTTAGTTTGGCATAATCTTTTATTTTTACTTTTGTTGCCTTATTTTTGAAAGCTTATTCATAATCCTTTCCCAGATCAATATCCTGAAGTTTTCCCCTGTTTTCTTCAAGTAGATGTACAGTTTCAGGTGTTGTATTTAGTTCTTTAATCCATACTGAATTGATTTTTATACAGGGTGAGAGATGGGGTCTAGTTTCATTTTTCTGCATTCAATTTTCCCAGCACCGTTTGTTAAGTATATGGTCCTTATTTCATTGTATGTTCTTGGTGCCTTTTAATTGCTGGTTCTCGATTCTGTATTATTGGGCTGTGTGTCTGTTTTATTCTAGTACCATAATATTTAGGATAATGTAGCTTTGTAGTATATTTTGAAGTCTGGTAGTGTGATGCCTCCACCTTTATTCTTTTTCACTCAGGAATCCTTAGGTTATTTGAGGTCTTTTTTGTTCCATGAGAATAATAGGATTTTTTCTCTATTTCTGTGAAGACTATCATTGATATTTTGCAAGCACTGCATTGAATCTATAGATTGCTTTGAATAATATGGACACTTTAATATTATTAGTTTTTCAATCCATGAGCAGGAATTCTTTTCCACTTGTTTGTACCTCTTCAGTTTTTTCTGTCAATGTTTTATAGTTTTCCTTTAGAGTTCATTCAGCTCCTTGATTAAATTTATTTGTAGGTATTTGGGTGGTTTTAGCTATTGTACATAATATTGGGTTCTTGATTTCTTTTCCAGTTAGTTCATTGTTCATGTATAGGAAAACTACTGATTTTTGTATGTTAATTTTTGTATCCCACAACTTTACTTAATTCATTTACCACTCCTAAGCGTTTTGGAGTAGAGTCTTTAGGTATATATAAGATCATGTTATCTGCAAACAGGAACAATTTGACTTCCTCCTTTTCAGGTTGGATGCTCTTTATTTCTTTTGCCTTATTGTTCTGGCTAAGACTTCCAGTATTATGTTGAATAAGAATAGTGAGAGCGCTTATCTTATTCCAGTTCTCAGGGGAAAGGCTTTTAGCTTTTCCTGGTTCAGGATAGTGCTGTGCTAGCTCTGGGTTTATTATATATGGCCTCTATTGTGTCCTTCTACACTTAATTTATTGAGAATTTTTATTAAGAAAAGATGTTGAATTTTATCAGATGCTTTTTATGCATCTATTGAGATGATCAAAATAGTTGTTGTCTTGCATTTTGTTGATTTGATGCATCACATTTATTGATTTGTGTATGTTGGGCCTTCTTACATACCTGAAACAAATCCACTTGAAAGTGATGCATTATCTTCTTGAGGTGCTGTTGGATTCAGTTTCTAGTATTTTATTGAATATTTTGGCATCTGTTTATCAGGGACATTGGCCTGTAGTTTTTGTTGTTGGTGTTGGTGGTGGTGGTGTTGTTGTTATGACCTTGCCTGGTTTTGCTATCAGAGTTATATTGGCCTCATAGAATGAGTTGGAATAGTATGGAAAGAAATTATATTAATTCTTTTTTAAAGGCCTGGTAGAATTCAGCACTGAAGCCAGTATAGGATTTTCCTTTGAGGGAGACTTTTTCTTACAAATTCAGCATTATTACTTGTTATTGATCTGTTCATGTTTTCCATTTCTTTGGGTCCAACTTGATAGGTTATATGCATGCAGGAATTTATTCATTTCCTCAATGATTTTTAATTTATTGGTATATGATTTTTCATAGTAGCCCCTAGTGATACTTTAGTATTTCTGTGGTATCTTTTGTGATATCTCCTTTTCCACTTCAGAATTTATGAATTTGTGTCTTTTCTGGTTTTATTTCTTTTTTTTTTTTTTTTTTTTTGAGATGGAGCCTCAAGCTATCCCCCTGGGTAGAGTGCCATGGCATCACAGCTCATAGCAACCTCCAACTCCTGGGCTCAAGCAAGTCTCCTGCCTCAGCCTCCCAAGTAGCTGGGACCACAGGCGCCCGCCACAACACCCGGCTATTTTTTGGTTGCAGCCGTCATTGTTGTTTGGCGGGTCTGGGCTGGGGATTTGAACCCGCCACCTTAGGTGTATGTGGTTGGCGCCTTTGCCACTTGAGCCACAGGCGCCAAGCTGATTTTGTTTATCTTTTTTAAAAAATGTTTTGTTTTATTGTTCTATTGCAATTTTTATTTTAGTCTCAATTTTGTTTATTTCTGATCTGGTCTTTGTTATTTATTTTCTTCTACTAATTTTGAGTTTGGTTTGTTCTTGCTTTCCTAGTTCTTTAAGGCATATCATTTGAAATATCTCTACTTTTTGATATAGGCATTTATTGCTGTAATTACCTCTTAGTACTATTTTGGCATGTCTCATGGTATGTTGTGTTTCTTTTCCATTTGTTTCAAAGAATTTTTAAGTTTCATGCTTAATTTCTTCCTTCACCCATTGGTCATTTAGGAACCAGTTGATTAATTTGGCATTTGTTTTTATTGAATGTTCTTATTAATTTCTAGTTCTATTCTATTGGGATCAGATAAAAAACTTATTATGATTTTAATTTTTTTTAATATAAGAATTGGCCAGGCATGGTGACTCACGCCTGTCATCTCAGCACTCTTGGGAAGCCCAGACAGGTGGATTGCTTAATCTCACAACTTCCAGATCAACCTGAACAAGAGCAAAACGTTGTCTCTAAAAAATAACTGCGCATTGTGGTAGATGCCTGTAGTTAAACTCTAATGTCTGTGAAAGGACCTTTTTGCAATAAATCTTTTATGGGATATTTGCACTTTCCTGGCTCTGTATGTCCATCTCTCTCCCAAAACTTGGGTTTTTTTTCAGATATTATTTCATTTAATGTTTTCTATACCTTTTTTCCTCTTTTCTCCTTCTGAAATGCCTTTAATGCATTTTTTTTTTGCTTTATGATGTCTCACAAATTCTATATCCTTTCTTCATCCTTTTTTCCTTTTTATCTCTGTCTTCAAATTTAGAAATTCCTTTTCTACTTTATAGTCTCTCATTGCAGCTCTTGATTGGATTCTTTTTTTCATCAATTGAATTCTTTAGCTCTAGGATTTCTGTTTGTTTCCTTTTATGATATCTATCTTTTTATTTAACTTTTAATTCAAATTGTGAATTATTTTCCAGGTTTCATTGGATTGTCTACTCATGTCCCCTTATACTTCAATGCGTTTCCTTAAGATTATTATTTTGATTTCTTTTGCCAGTTTTTGTGTATTTACTTATGGTTAGAGTCTGTTGATGGTGAATTATTGTGTTCCTTTCCAGGTGTCATGTTTCCTTTTTTTCAATGTTTGATGTGTCCCAACATTGATTTCTAAGTGGAATAGTCATCTGTTCCTATTTTATGCTATAAAATTGACATATTGGCATATATAAAAAATTAGTATATTCTGGGCCTGGTGACATTGGCAAAATTGCAGACTAGAGGCACCTGGCTTTCATCCTCCCCACAAGAAAGGATAAAGACAACAAATAAACAGCTCAGATTTGAGTGGAGTCACTCTGCCTTTGCAACCCCATCTCCCCTGCTTAAATTGGCCCAGAATCAGGAGGAACTTTATGCTATAGGTTTCGTAGGAAGAGACTTATTTATATGGATGGATCTTGGGGTATTGTTCAGTGGGGCTATATTGGCAGCTTTGGTTCTAGATGGTTGCAGTAATGTAATCTCCATGTAGTTTCTTTGGTAGTAATTCATACTGGTGATATTTGCAAGTGTCTCAATGGCTTAGGCTCAAGAATTTGTGATAGCAGTGGTGTGGCTTTGTCAGGGTGAGCTTACTGAGCTATTTCTCAGATCAAGGACATGGTGTATACACACAGTAGGACAACCAACTTGGATCTGGTTCACCTGGGTTAGGGTCACAGGGATATTACCCTGGCCAGGGGCATGGGAACATGTTTGGTTAGCCATTCTAAGGGTATGTCTGCTGGGGTGGCCCACAGAGCTGTTTCTAAGACCCAAGAAGTAGACACAATGCTTCTTAGTCAGAGTCTGGAAGTGTGCCCACCAAGGGAAGCCTGAAGAACTGTTTCTTAGGCCCAGGATGTAAGTGGATGACTGCTTGGCCAGCCTATGCAGAAGTGGGGGAGTATCTGCCAGGGGTAACCTATGAGGCTGTTTCTCATCCTGGGGCATGAGTACATTGCTACATGGCTGGCCTATGAGTAGGTCTTCCAGGAATAGGCCATGGGCCTGTTTCTCAAACCCAGGATATAGGCACAAAGCCATTCAGCAAACCTGGGAGCATGTTTTCCAGGGTTGGCCCACAGGGATATTTCTCAGATCTGATTGTGAGTACAGAGCCATTTAGCAGACCAGAGATACTGCTGGTCTCTTTCTTAGGTCCTGGATGTGGTTATTTCGCCACCTGCTGGCCTGAGGGCATGCCAACAGCTCAGCAGCTCAGGGACCTCTCTCACTTCACTTTGGGGATGATGTATAGTGGGTTTGGTGAATTCGCAGGTGGGTTTGCCCTAAGAGAGGGTAACAGGAGTTGGTTTCCCTGTTAGCTTTTAAAAAAATTAGTCTCACCTCTCCTTAATCACTATTGCTTTCTCCATTTGGTAAATTTGAAGTAGAATATATGAATAATTTACTTGTTCATGATTTAAATATATGTTTTACCTAAGGATTTATTTATGGAAGATCTGAACTGCATTATCAATTTGGGAAGAATACTTGACTTGTTTGAAAATGATGAGCTGGACTCTATTGCAAAACATATCAAATCTCTTGATGAACAGTTTGATCACGTGGATGATAGGCAGTTTTTACTTTCATTCTTTCAAAAGGTACTTTTATGTGGGTTGACTTTATCAAACTATCATGTTAAATTAAAAGTAGACCATGTGTATAATTTTACAATATTTTCAAGTTGGATATAATTTCTTTAGTTCTTTAAATGAGTTTGTAAAGCTAAAATAATGACCACCATCCCTATCCACAGACACACCATACCCTTAGGTAGATCAAAGATTAATAAGAATCTGATCCTAGCACTCTTGGAGGCCAAGATGGATGGATTGCTTGAGCTCACAAGTTCAAAACCAGCCTGAGCAAAAGCTAGACCCCATCTCTACTAAAAATAGAAAAACAACTAAGGCAAAAGGATTGCTCAAGCCCAAGAGTTGGAGGTTGCTGTGAGCTATGACAGCATAGCACTCTACCCAGGGTGACAGCCTGAGACTTCTGTCAAAAAAAAAAAAAAAAAGAATCTGAGTCTGACTGGCCATCAGTGGTTTAAAAAAATCTTGGAAGCAAGCAAATGAAAACTAAGATCCCAAGATTATTTCTTTCACTGACATTCTTTCTTGGCTAATGAGGTTATTGTTTCAGCTATGTTGGTAACAAGTCCTGAAAGGTAAGAAATAGGAAGTCTTTCATTTCTTTGAATAGACCTAGAGTTGACCCTAAGGTGATGGATACTGAAAGGTATTGGCCAGATAGAACAGGAGCTATTCAGAATGAGCTTAGCAGCAGGGTAACTGAAAAAACTGGTTCAATGACAGATATAGACTTACTAGACCAAATGAATGGGGCTTTCTGTGTCTGTGAAGCATGATGACCGACCAGTGGCTTAGTGAATAACAGATATGATTACCCAAACCAAAATGTTCACTGGGGGAGGACCACGGGTCAACTTATTTCTGGTGCCAGTTTTTGTCTATCACAGGGTCATTTAAAAATTGAACCTGGCCACTTGCTATCCCTCAACAGATACTTAGTAATCTGTCATAAGAAGAAGATCTAAAAATGAAAAAATCCAAAAATGAATCTAATTGCAGAGAACAAGGTGATAAAAATTGAGGCTTGGATTGAGTTTATATTTTAAAATTCCATAGTAGAAAGAAAGACAGCATTTATCCTGATAACGTGTGGCATCTGATGCCTTTACATACTTAATTTATTCACTAGACTATGAATGGTAAGAAAGAACAAAGAAATTCTAACTTAGAATAGGGAGAATAGTATACTCCAGAAATTTTTTTAAAAGTAATAAACTAAGAATCCTAGTCAGAAATAACTTTAAATATTTATTTCATTATGTATATACATGATACTATATTTCCAACAATTATTTGACATGTCTTGTAACAGTAATAAATAATAAAGGCACACTTTATGTTGTTAATGTGTGATAGGAGTTTGGGAATAGAGAAAGCAAAGAGAGATACTTTCATTTTTAATTGAAATATTTCTGTATTGCATTGGCATCTAGCAGTTTTATTGGTCTTTATAAATTTTTAAAGACAAATAGGAGGAGAAAAGAAAAAAATACATTACCCTTTAGTTCTCTTTTAGCTTTAGCATACTTATTTGGCAAAATAATTGGTTACTTAATAATTAAAGATATCATCACCTTATATAGTTGGACTCTGAGTTAAGAGGACCACTGACTCACTGAGGCTGCTTTCAGAAGTGTGGTTTTGTTATAAAGTGACACATGGAAATAACAAGAAAGGAATCTGTGCCTCATGGCCAGACCTGCCAAAGACCCAGAAACAGCAGCAGCATATCCAGGTCCTATGAAGAAAAGGAATACAGGCAAATTTCAAAGAAACTAGCCTTTACCTTAGGACCAGTAAAATTGTATAGTATCTAATATTGCTTAACTGTAATCTGTTTGCTGTAGTTTATTACTACCTCCTGTGGAGGTTTACCTATAATGTCAGTCTGTTTCTTTTAACTCTAATTTATCTGACTGTTTTCTCACTTTGAGTTCATATGGCCTTAATGTACATTTCCCCAAAGAAAAGAGTTAAATAGTCTGATGCAGCACCATCTGATATAAGGTCCCCCTACTGAACAGAACTGTAGCACCTAATGTCCTCATAAGAGTTGATTTATGTAAGGGATGTTCTGGGTCAGGTGCCCCCACACACACATGGTCCATGCAACTGAAGGCAAAAGGGCAGAGTCATATGAAGACTATGGCTACTTTCCTGAGAAGGATTCTGTGGGACTGTCAGTTTTCCCTGAAAGGGCTCTGTTTATAGCAGGCAATTGATGAACAATTGATCAGTCTGTAGTGTACCCGTTAAGGAAAGAATTGAAATAAATTTTCAATGGAATTTTTAATAAAATATTCTTTCAAAGCAGTGGATTACATTTTACCAACTTCTATTTCAGAGAATATATAAAAATCTTCACATTTTCATAATCATGAGTCCTGAAGGACCTAATTTACGCCAAAATTGCAGAATATACCCTTCTTTGATCAGCTCCTGCACAATCGATTGGTATAAGAGGTGGCCAGATGAAGCTCTCCTTCTTGTAGCCAATTCCTTCTTAAGAGAAAAGGTGAATTTCCTAAAAAGAGAGGTAAGTATCTAATGCAAATGAAAGTTTCAGTTTATTGATAGCATCTGACAGTATTATGCCTCTGAATAGTAATGAAAACGAAATGGGCAAAATTAGGCAACTATAAGCCAAATTACAAAACGTGTCAAGGGTTGGTCTTGACTCCTTATCCCCAGATGTTTTTCTTCCCAATTCATTCTATTTCGAAGATGCCCAGATTTGGCACTGTGTGGGCCTTTTTAACTATTCTAGACTTTACCCTCATTTCTGCTATAGTTATACAAGGATTTAGGGCACAAGTATTACTGGCTAAGGATTATGGTTGCTTTCCTTATCTTTTATCTTAAAATGGTTATTAATAGTCATATACTTAAGGAAGTACTTTGTAGGCAAATCAGAATAGAAAGAGTATTCTCTTTGCCTCGATCAGAAAAGGATTCTGATTCAGATATAATATAGTCCTGGTTACACATCTGCAGTCCACTAAGCCTAGCCAATCACTGGTCACTTAATACAGCTGCATTTTCTTTTGGGTTTCACCTGGTCTTTACCTACCTTGACTTTTGCTCTTCTTGAACACTTGGACAAGTAAGATTACAATCCCCTTTCTAAGTCCCACTTTGAGTTTCAGGCTTGTATATATTTACAACTCCCTTGGTAAAAAACTATTACCCCTTTTCTGTCAGCTGAGGCCTATGAGATTTTCAGTATAATCACTTTAGAGTAGATGCTCACTTGTGGCTCAAATTCTGAGAGAATTTTATAGTTGTGACTTGTGCTCTCATTTGTTTGCTGTTGTAGCCAGGCCAAAACAATTTACAAAGAATTCACAGAATCTAGCACACACAATGGAGGTTGTTTTCCTTCATGGAAATCTGCTGTCTAGAAGAATGAGTCTGATATGCCATCAGTCATTAGCTGTATCATTACCTCTTCCACTCCACCACCCATCCCAGCCATTAAAACTTGTATTTTCTTGGTCCTTTTCATGTAGGACCTTTCTCTACATCTCCACATCTCAGAAATGATCAAATATTTCAATTTATCCAGTGTTCAACTTATTCTTTTATGTATATTTAGATTGTTTTCTCATAATTCTTAAAAATTATTATTCTTCAGCACTTAAAAGAAAAACTTGCCGCAGCATGTGTCCAAATTCACAAAAGTATAAAAGACTTGAGCACGAAATACTTTGAAGAAACTAGAAGGCATTATTATGTCACTCCCAATAATTACTTGCAATTCATGGACACATTTGCACAAATTTTGAGCTCACGAGAAAAGGAGATGCAAAAGAAGAGGTAAGAGGTTGAGCCCAAATCAGAAACACATATTTTGTATTGGTGCTTTGATTCATAAAAAGACACAAATGTAAAATGATAAGCCCAAATCTGCCTTTTTGGTAGAGGAAAAAGGCAGAAGCTGCAAAAGATCGTAAAAGAGATAGAATTGATATTTCCCCTGTGCATTCAAAGCCTGTCCATATCAAAGCAAGGCTGACAGTTTCAGCCAGTATGCACACTGCCTTTGTTTACTTCGGGCAGTTTATAACTTACATAGACAATGAAAGCAAGAGTAGCTAACAGTCCCACTGCTCCATGTCCCTGTCCCATGGGATGACAAAAAATATATAATAAAAGGGGTCAGATGATTGCAACAGAGTGGAACATTATTGCTGAGGAACCCATGTCATGCTACAGTGAAGCAGTTTTATAGTCAGCAGCTGTACTTGAGGAGGTGGGGGGGAAATTTTGAGGCAGAAAGCCACATACTTAATCAGGACTCAGTAAACACTGAGAAGATATCTCAGGATAACCTCTGGGAAAATAAAGAAATGTGGGAAATGACTTGATATCATCTGCTCACAAGCACCTCATGTTCTTGTGTTCTGGGAGGATCAAATGTGTTGCACTTAATTCTTGTCTATATGACCTATGCAGAGACATGAAACCTGCCAAAGGTCCACTGTGGAACCATTCCTCTACAAGTCCATCACCCAAACCTGTCTTTTTTCCAGATAAGAATTCTTTCTAAAAATCAGACCACTTCATCAGATAACCTAATTAATTCTACTGATAGAGGGTTGGACCAAATCAATTCCATTTGTCTGAGGGAACATTGGATGAGAGTGACCAGGACTATGACACCTTGCACTTGGAGGATAGGCAATAGCCTTTCTGGAGCCAACCCAGTTAAGAATGTTATTAAACCTAGTGCAGCAAGAGTTATTGGCAATTGCACATACTCTACCTCAACTGGCCAGCAGTCCAGGACTGGCTACAAGTCCAGGGCAATGTAAATTTTTACTACTACTCATGCTATAGAGTTCAGACTATTTTGTGTGTAGCAGGCAAGTACAGGCATGATGTTTATGTAAGTAGTAGCAAACTCAGTAACAACATTTGCTAATGTGTAGTAAAGGTCTAATTTTATTATTAAGTTGTTGTTAGCAAGGTCAAGTGGGACGTGACAAGTCAACATTAGTTAAATTTGGAGCAGTTAGGATAGCCTGAATATAATGAAGTGAAAGAGAATAATGTCAGTGTTCCAAAAATGTATCTTGTTCTATTGTTTGAAGTAGAGGCTAGCTGTTTACTCCTGGGGTCAGCAAGTCCTAGGAGATTTCTAAGAGTCCATAGGTAAAGATTTTTGTTGGTCAGCAGTTAAATTGAAGATAACGCCAATAGTCCTAGGTGAATTGTCCAGGTGCTCTACAAGTAAGAGTCAAGAGAGAGTAATGGACCTTCCTTTCACTCCTCACCTCCAGTGCTGCTCTCCATCCACAGCCATGTAATTGTTATGAGCAAACTCTGTCACAATCACTTCACCTTTTTTCCAGCTTTCTCATGCCTTGCCTATAGCTTATGCCCAGACACATTCCCTAAGTAGCTCAATAGTTTCTTCTTCACATGCCTTGTACTATTCTAGACCATATCCTACCCCCCTGATGTGTGGGCCACATTGAGACCAAAAGAGCTGAAGTAATTTCTTCACCTCTTGTCACGGCCACCTACAGCTCATTATTATCATCAATATACATAACTGCACATATCCGGCAATTATAGCTAGGTGGCCAAAATTACCACCAGGTTACAGTCCCCCACTTTCCTCTTTGATGCTATCCACAGATATCAGTAGATCAGTTTCCCAGGGTAGATAAGGGAGGGAAAAAAGTAGGAATGGTTAATTGTGCGGTTTGGGTCTCTTCAACCAAGCTGGGCCTCTTTTCCATCCCCAAAGTAGCATACCTACTATTTATTCTATTTAAATAGTAGATATGCCTTTCTGAGGAATTATTATAGTTAAAGCCCAAACTGCCTGTCTTTATGCATGTGCTCCAGTGAGAGCTGAGCCCAGTTATCTTTTTAAGTTTTTCCTTTAAGAATCCATTTTGTTTTAATGACACCTGTTCTTCATCAAGATGAGGAAATTTCTCTCTATTCCTAGTTTTAAAAGAGTTTTGTCATGAATTTTAACAAGTGCTTTTTTATATGAATTGATATTAATACAGAAGCAAATTTTCTTCTTCAGCCTGTTGATATGATGAATGATACTAATTGATTTTCTCATATTGAACCAGTCTTGCATTCTTGAAATAAACCCCATTTAGCCATAATTCAGTATAATTCTTGTTATATATGATCAAATTATGTTTGCTAATATTTTATTATATCTTAAAATTTCTTAATATTTGTTTTCCTTCAGGGACCATTTCTATGTTGGTTTATCCAAGATCCTGGAAGCAACCACACTAGTTACAGAAATGCAGGAGGAGCTCTTTATTCTTGGCCCTCAAATAGAACAAAAGACAATGGTATATTTGATTTGAAATATCTTTTCAAGACTTGATAGTCATACAACAGTGTTTCAAAGCAAAGGCTCTGAGACCTGACAAAGATAAGCTAGAATTCTAGCTTTGTTACCATGAGGCTGAATAACCTTAAAGAAATTACCTCACTATTTTAGTCTCAATTTTCTTATCTGTAAAATGAGAAAAACAGTAACAATAAGAATAAAATAGTAACATTATTACATTTTAATAATTAAATGTAATAATGAGTATATGAGATCAATTAAGTTCAGAAACTCATCCTAGAAAAAGTGCTCCATTGTCTTTGCTGACTATCTCTACGGTCACCAGACGGCCAAGGAGAGTACTCCAGAGGTAAGCGTAGTGATATTTAGCAATGAGATATGTAGCACTTTTTCTAGGATGAGTTCACAAACTTAATGTTCTGACTCACATAGTTAACTATAGAAGCTTATATAAAAGGATTCCCTAGTTAAATATTTTATTCTGTGGTAACTTTCAGTCTTTCACGTATTCTAAAAATCTCATTCATTATTCTTCATGTGTATTTTATGAAGTGGTATTTATTAAGATCATCTAATGAGTCTATTAAATATATTTCAGGCTGAATTTGATAAATTTTATAGTAATGAAATGACCTACTTGATTTCTCTTTTTAAAAACGAAATCATATCTCTTAAAATCCATTCTAAGATTGTTTTGTTCATTAGGAAACAGAAACTCTAATGGAAAAACTACAGAAAGAGTCACAAGTAGCTGAGAAAGTTCAAACACTTGTCAAACAGGATGAAGAAATTATGGCAGAAGAAATAAGAATTGTGGAAGATTATGCCCAGGTAAAATTAAAATATAGTTAGTTAAAATAATCTGGAGATTGGAAAAATTATATCCTAACCTCTTCAGTGTTTCAGAGCTAAAATAAGTCAAACTGATTGCTCTTAAATATATAGTGCACCAAATATGGATACTTTTTATTTTTATCCCAGCAAATACTTATTGAGTCCCTACTACACACAGGACACTATTAAATGAAAGTAATGTACTTCATTTTGTACAAAAATATTATTCCCATCCTCCAGAGACCTAAACTCATAGCAGGCTCTCTGGTTACAATGAATAGACACTCAGTGGGGCTATATCAGAAATACATTTAGCCCTGAAGAACATCTGCAAAAAAACAAGGCAGCTCTAGGGACTGGCTTTGTGACGTGTGTCACTTCTGTTGTTGACTAAATAATCCTTTCTTTTTAAACTAGACATTCCCTTCTATACTCTGTAATCAGAATCCCAGCAGGAGCCATTGTGGTTTAGCAAATTACCAAATGTTCAACTCTGGTCTGATCTGTAGGCACTCCAGCTCAGAGGAAGTGTAGAGTGGAGTTTTATTCATCTTCCATGTGTAAATGGTTTTTAATCACACAACTCCATCATTTAAAAAATATAAATATACGTGCCTTCACCCCAATATTGTATAATTATATATTTATACATTAAATGCATGAGCTATCATTGGCTAATATCCCAAAGCCCAATAAACACCTAGGACAAGATTTATTATGAATAATAGTGAATGTGAATGTATATTTCAAATAGACTTTGTGATTTCAATTTTTTTTGGCTGGAGTCTTATCAAATTTGATTAGCTCATCATTACTTTTTATTGTACAACATGGTTAAAGGAAAGTTGATGTCAAGAATAAAAAGTGTCAGCCTGCTTTTTTCTTGTTCACCTATGCTTTTATTATTAACATTACCTTTAGTACCTTCAATCCAGTGTTCCTTTAAGAAATCTTTGTAAGTTAACGATCCATGTTTTAAGAGCTAACTTATTTCAAATAAGATAACAGATGAGGTAAATCCCCTTACTTGGACACAAGTAAACTGCAAGGTCTCCTTATGTCCTGAGCATTAAAGTAACAGGAAAGGCACATTACTGGCCCTTCCCAGATGAGAAGCTTCCCCTCTTCTGTTAAGACACTACATGAGTCCTGTGTCAATCACCTGAAGGTACTACTATTGATCAATATATTAAATATATGAGTACAACTTAATTTCCATCTTGAAAATTTGAGGCCAAATGGAAATGGGCACCAAGAAATTCAAAAGAGGGGCTGCCATACCACAAAGGCTAACTGCTTTTCCCCGAGACAAACCCAGGTTCATTAGGGCCTAGAGCTTATACAATTTGAGGCCACATTTTTTTAAAGAATACAAAATCACTAGTGCACAATCAGATATGAAAGTGAATATTTATTTAGAATAAGTAAAGAAATCACAATAAAATACAAAATTATCATAAACATCACAAAATCTAGAAAAGTATTATTGTTTAGCCTTATACTCTCCTTTTTTCCTACATTTTTTCACTGCATACTTTATGATCACTTCTTTGTATGAAAAATGATTTTGTAATTGTAAGAGGGACTTTATCTAACAAATGCAATCAGTGTGATCTGGTTTCTTGTACCCTCAATGAATCCCCAATAATAAAAAAAAATGATTTTGTAATATCATTTCCTAAAAAATTGTTAGCATAGTTGATGGAAATGTTTTTTTCATTTCTGATAGTTAAGAAGTTTCTTTGAAATCCATAACTCATTGACAATGTCATGAATGTTTTTAGGATTGCTATCAAATTTGACATAAGCAGCAATGGCATTTCAAGATTTCTTGTGCAGTGGTTAATGTCAAGTACCGTTGGAAATAATGACATTCTTTAACCAATTTTCTATCAGGATCTCATTATTAAGATGTTTTCTGATATTTATATCATTATCTTTAATGCCAATATTTCTTGAAAATGCAACAAAAAAATTAAATTTTTACAATGTGATCATGTGATTTGATCTTTGTGAACTGGATTACTAAACCAAGAACCATTTCATTACTTCCATTCTAAATTTATTTTTTCCTCTTACTAAATTAACACTTTGTGGTATGATCTGAAATTTTGCACTCTAATTTGCTCCTCTGTATCACAATTATTACTGATTTTATGACTTAATCATTTTTATTTCATATTCCACAAATTTTTATCTTAATTATTTATTTATAAATAAAATAAAATTACAAAATGAGGCACATTGCATGCATTTCTATGTAATTAATCTGAAATTTCTCACTTATTTCATCAAAACATTACAAAATATATTTCCAAATGCAGCAATTGTTACTTAAAAACTCAGGAATTTTGCTGGCCATAATATGTAATGCCCATAATCCTAGCTATCTGAGGATAAATGGAATTTAAGCCTGCAGTGAACTATGATTGCACCACTGCAATCCAGCCTGGGAAGTGAAACCTGGTCTCTAAAGAAAAAAAAAATTTAACCTAGGAGTTCTGATGAATTTGATTTTACATTATTCCCAGTAAAAAAGAAGAAGAACGTCTGGAAAATTTAGAATAGCATATGCTGCTTAACAAGTATGCTCCTGAAGGAGTGAGCTTCCATTTTGAGTATCACTCAGAGAAACTCTAAACCTGATGGGGAGTGGCTTATGCCTGTAATCCTAGCATTCTGGGAGGCCAAGGCAGGAGGATTGCTTCAGCTCAGGAATTTGAGACCAGCCTGAGCAAGAGCAAGAATCCTGGCTCTACTAAAACACAGAAAAATTAGCCAGGCATCCTGGAAGGTGCCTGTAATCCCAGCACTTGAGAGACTGAGGCAGGAGGATCTCCTGAGCCCACGAGTTTGAGGTTTCTGTGAGCTACAATAATGCCTGGCACTTTACCCAGGGTGACAGAGTAAGACTTTGTCTCAAAAAAAAAAGAAAGAAAGAAAGAAAGAAAGAAAGAAAGAAAAGAAAAGAAAAGAAAAGAAAAGAAAAGAAAAGAAAAGAAAAGAAAAGAAAAGAAACTCTAACCACTTAGAATCCACTTCCAATTTTATACATCTGATAAATGGAAAGATTTTTCCACAGACCAGCTTCTGCAACCATGCATTGAAAAACTGTTTCTCCTTCACTATGCACATATTTCTTGTACCAGACACTACAGGAAAAGTTTATATTACTATTATATATACATACTCCAGTGGAGTGGTAGTGAAAATTTTGGGGAGTTGAGTTGGGAAATATACATATGTAAATATCCCTGCCAGAATTTTGGCAGAGCTCCTTCTGGAACATTGGAAGGGGTCTATGCAGATAAGAGGCTGAAGCTTAAGCTTCCTTTCCTTCCCTATAATTCTACCTTTAACTGGACCATTCCTCAAAAGGGCATTTGTTAATATCACACTGAGCCTAAAAGAAAAGGCAGAAGCCACTCAGTATTTTTATTTCCCCTAGATAATTTCTCATCAGGTATTGAATAATACACTACTGTTTTAGGACTGTAAAACACATTTCCAACAGTATAAGCAAGTGTGCACATCCAAGTCATGCAAGATACCTAACTTATGGGCACTGTAAAACTGTCAAATTCTATTTTGCAAGTTCAACATATAAAAATTTTAAATATACAATTATATTCATTCATGTGTATTTGAGGATTTATATTTTTACTGCAGAAAACTGCCAGTGAACTAAAAGGGGTCCTTCCAGCCTTAGACAAGGCACTTGTGGCTCTCAATTCCCTGGATAAATCTGATATTGCTGAATTAAGGTAAGGAACATACTTAATTTCCTTTCTAGTTGGAAAAGCTCAGACTAAAACATAAATATATGGTAAAAGTTAGTAAGCTTATACTTCTATTTTTAGTTTAATTTTTATCATCTTGGTTACTTTAAAGTTTTTGTTATGTGTGGTATATGCCATATCTTCATATCTTATCAATTTTATAATCAGTTATAAGCCATACCAGTATTTCTTATACCCTAAGAAAAAAATGCTGCCAGTTAAACTGTGATGTGCCATTTGTTATAAACTGAGATTTCTGAGAAGTAAAAATGTGTATCTTAATAAAATGAAGTCATTACCTGGCCTATAGTTTCGAAAATAAAAAGACAATGTTTATACTGCTGCTGCTTCTGCCAGATTAGCTAGAGAGCATGTGGAAGCTGAAGGAATGTGGATAACACATATCTGAGACTGCAGCGTTGGCTATTACCACAAGGGAATGCTAACATTGCAAAGGAAGTATTTCCCCTTGCTGTGCTTTTTCTCAAACTCAGTGCCGGGAGTTGTGGACATTAAACAGAAATATGTAACAAAATACAGGAAGGAATGAAATACTTTGAGGTACAAAGATATGGTCCTGTAAGTTCTAAATTGAATGTTTGGTGGTAGAAGTTTTAGCTTGATCTCTGTATCAAAAAAAAAAAAAAACCAATAGGAATCTGCATTATCTTAAAATATGTTGAGTTTTCCCTTATTTATAGAAGTAATATTTCAATAAAAAATGTGGAAATATAAAGCAAATCTACCATGATATTTTAAAACATTATAACTTTTGGAATAAGAATAGGAAATAGCAGAATTATTTTGTTATGAAAAATAAAATATATTTCTTTTTAACCAATTTATTTTTATGGTGAAGAACAAAACATGTTACAGTATTGAGTTTAATCCACCTAAAATTGAAAAACACAAATGCAAAAAGACAAGAAAAGGAAGGTGAATTTTTACTTCCTTTTCCTTTTTAACTTCATTTATATCCATTTATTTTTATGCACTCATTTATTTGTTCAGGAAATATATTGAGTGCACACTATGTGCACTCCCCATTCCAGGCACTAACATTACAGCAGGTAATGGTTGGGGAAGCCTTTTTTGATGAGGTACCATTGGAGCAGATCACTGAACAAAGCTTAGAGAAAACTAAGCAGGATCTAAAGGAAGAGTGTTCTGAGCAGAGGAAATGGAAAGCACGAAAGTTCTTTTTTTTTTTTTTTCAGATTAATATGAGAGTACAAATGTTTAGGTTACATTATTTTCAATTGTAAGGTCAAGTTCATGTTGTAGTTGAGCACTTCACCCAGAGGGCGTGCTAAACACCCCCACATAATGTACACCAGTGAGATCTCACCAATTGCCCTCCTTCCTCACCCTTTCTTCTCCTCTTCCCTCTCCCTTGCTAGATCATATGTGTGTGTGTGTTCTTTCAAGTGAACGTGTAGTTGTTTATATGTTGGTTTCATATTAATATTGAGTACATTGGACTTTTTTTCCCATTCTTGAAATACTTTATTAACACAAAAGTCAGATTTCAAAAACTACCAAAGACCAAGATGACTAAAACTCAGAAGGTATGTCAGGAGAGGAGGTGATATCAAAGCAGTAATAGGGGCCAATCCTTCCCCAGCATAGCTCTCTGCAACCCCTAGTATCTCAGGACTTTATTCCAAAAATTTCATATTGTCTTAGCTTTTTCTCTGGCAGATATTTCTGAGAGACATCAGCTTAAATCCCTTTTAGCCTAATTTCTGATGAACAGTGTGTCATGGGCTGCCATACCAAGCTTCCCAGGTTGGAATCTGGCAATGCCACCTTCTTTATAACCTCTCTGTCTCTGAACATCCATTCTAGGCAACAGTGAAAACACGTTGAGAGGACTGATTGTGTTTAGAATCTTGCATAAGACAACTGCTCCATAAAAATTACTTTCTTGCTAAGAGGTTTTTTATAATCAAACAGAACCTTTCTCTTTCCCTAGAACTACCAAAGTTAAAGAAAACCAGCCTTGTTCATTAATTCTTTGCATACACCTTGTTTGTTTGCTTGCTTATTTGTTTTTAGATTACTACTTGTGATATTTTTAATGTGCATAAGACTTTGCCCACTTAAAATGCCACATAAATGAGGCTACTTTATAATATCATCTTTGTTGCTAATCTTTGGACATGAAGCAGAGACATCTGGCACATGCGTTCTTTTTCCTAGCTCCATAATCAAAATGCAAATGATCTCCCCGTGGTAGTTTAATCTTTTGACACTTTGCAACATCAGCCATGAGAAAATAAAAGATAGTAAAAAATGCATATTAGGGTAAATAAAGATGGATCTAAAACAGACTACTTCTGTGAAGTCATAGAGGACTTCAAAGCAAATTTCAAGAATAGATAGGTCTCACTTTGAATCAGATATTTGTTCCTGGCACATACATTGAATTACAGTCATTTTAATCCTATTTTCCCTTTCATTTAAATTAAATGTCATAGATAATTTCATCCTAATTTAGCTATATTCATATCATATTTGTTTAAAATAGAATCAAACCTGGGTAAAATTGAGGAAAGGTTGATTGTTGGAGCTCTGCTTCTCTTCTGTGGACCTTGTCTCTTTTCACAGTTCTTCTATTGTCTTTCTTATTATCTCAACAAGGCAAAACTGATAATCTCAGAAAAGAAATTTAAAAAGTTAGGGCGGTGCCTGTGGCTCAGTGAGTAGGGCGCCGGCCCCATATACCGAGGATGGTGGGTTCAAACCGGGCCCCGGTCAAACTGCAACAAAAAAAATAGCTGGGCATTGTGACAGGCACCTGTAGTCCCAGCTACTTGGGAGGTTGAGGCAAGAGAATCGCCTAAGCCCAAGAGCTGGAGGTTGCTATGAGCTGCGACGCCACAGCACTCTACCGAGGGCAACTAAATAAGACTCTGTTTCTTAAAAAAAAAAAAAAAAGTTCCACATAAGGAGTTTATGAATTAGTTGTTCATTCCTCCTGAAAACTATATTTTACAAGTAGACTGCTAAATAAAGGCTAATCCAAATGAACATAAAGATTAGAATTTCTAGTCATGAAACTTTTTTTTTATTAAATCATAGCTGTGTACATTAATGCAATCATGAGGTACAATGTAAGGGTTTTATATACAATTTGAAATGCTTTCATCAAACTGGTCAACATAGCCTTCACAGCATTTTCTTAGTTATTGTGTTTAGACATTTATATTAAACACCTAATAAATTTCACATGTACCCTTGTAAGATGCATCATAGGTGTAGTCCCACCAATTACTCTCCCTCCACCCATCCTCCCCCCCACCCCTCCCCTCCTGCTCCCCTTTCCCCTTCTTCTTGGGCTACAGTTTCATAGTAAGACTGAGTATATTGGGTATTTTTCTTCCATTCTTGAGATACTTTGCTAAGAAGAATATGTTCCAGCTCCATCCATATAAACATGTAAGAGGTAAAGTTGACGTGGAAGTGGAGAAAGGGGAACACTTCTACATTGCTGGTGGGAATGCAAACTAATACGTTCCTTTTGGAAAGATGTTTGGAGAACACTTAGAGATCTAAGAATAGACCTGCCATTCGATCCTACAATTACTAGATATATATCCAGAAGACCAAAAATCACATTATAACAAAGATATATGTATCAGAATGTTTATTGCAGCCGAATTCATAATTGCTAAGTCATGGAAGAAGCCCATCAACCCATGAATGGATCTAGTTATGAAATTTAAGACAAGAGACCTTCTTGGGTAATGTCATACATGTAAAGTTGGCTTTGTTACCTTTCTTCTTTTCGAAGTCTGTACAATTTTCATCTGAGGAAATTCAATATCCTGGATGGACCCCCGCCCCTTGTTTCAAGTCTCCACCACCCCTCTTGTGGTTTCTCATTGAAACTTCTATCTTATGAATGTTACTCTGATCCCAGATTTTCCAAATTGTCGACTTCTTATCTAATGATCCGGTTAAGTAAGACACAGCTAAGAGATAGCCTCCAATGTATCAAAAGTGAACACCCTATTGAAAGGGTGACTTGAGAGATAAATTCTTACCTACCTTCCTTCCCCTGACCCTGGTCTATCAGTTAACTTTATGGTGGGAATTTTGGATCTGGATGAAGAAAAATCAAAAGATATGTTTAAGGGGAGTGGGACATTACACACCTTAAATCACAGGAACAGGCTGACTTTACCTACCCCCCACATACACACGTGGTGTCTCTGTCAAGCAGTCATTAGTGAATAAACACTAAAATAAAATAGGAGGATTCCTATTTTTAAAAAAACTCTACAGTGAAAACTTTTATAATAAAAATAATTAGTTTCTAACTCAGATGTTCTGTATATATTTTGGTTTTATGCATTTCATCTTACCAAAGCAAAGATATCCATATATTAAAGATAGTCAAATTTTCAAAGATACACAAATAGTAAAATAGCTTTACATTGACAGTAGTTTTCCCTCTTAAAATACCTGTTAAAATCTGTGTATTTTATCTTCTGCAATAGTTTATAGTGCATTTTATTTTAATTGTTCTGTAATTAGATATTTCACCATTTATCACAGAGTGTACACTCGGCCTCCCTTCCTCGTGCTGACAGTCATGAATGCAGTGTGTATTCTTCTGCAAAAGAAACCTAGCTGGGCAACGGCAAAGTTACTTCTTTCAGAAACTGGTTTTTTAAAAAAATTGATTAACCTTGACAAGGACAACATACCTGATAAGGTAAAAACGTGCATCCCTCATTCATAACATGTATACATGTATGAAGTCAGATAGAAGTATTAAAATTGAAATTCTGTGTTAGAATCATCGGACAGTGGTAAGAGTTAAAAGATCAGAGAGTAACTGCCTGCATATCCCAACTTGACAACTTTCTTGAAAGTGTCAAGGAAAAGCAGCATGCCACTGAAATCAGAAAATGTCATGTCTTAGAATCTCTTTAAATAACTAACAATAGGGAAGAGGACAATAGTGGGAGAAAGTCTTTCTAAAAAGACTACATTTTACTATGAAAATACAATTTGTGTCTAAGTTGCACAAATGTTAATATAACAGCAGGTACCAGACATTGTCCTAAGTACTTTATAAATATTAATTCACAAGGGAGGAGAATTAAGGTTCAGGGGGGAAAAAAGTAAAGAAAAAGTGAAGTATCCTGGAAACTCTACTAAAGGGTTTTACTGGAGCTGATTTAATTTAAAAGAATATAAATTTACTGTAAGATTTCAAACAGGGAGAGAGCAGAGCCAAAGCCCTGGGCAGGCAGGAAACTTCAAGGTGCTGGTAGTGTGGTGGACTAGTGAGTTTTGTAGAAAGGAGCATGGCAAAGTAGGCAGGAGCCTACAAAGGCCTGGACCAAGGCATTATAGATAGAAGTGGGGAAAAGGCCAAATGCCGTGATGCAGCCACAGCCAAGCAACTCCTGCGAACACCAGAAGTTGGGAGAAGAAAAGAATAGATTCTCTCCAAGAGCACTCCAAGGAAATATTACAGCTTGATTTCAAATTCTATCCTCTAGAACAGTGAGGGAATAAACTCTTGTTTAAGAGTCACCCATTTTATGGTAATTTGTTACAATAGCCACAGGAAACTAATACGTAATTTTGTACTGGGAAATAGTTGCTGCTATAACAAGGACCTGGAAATGTAGAATTGGCAACAGATAGGGACTGGAAGAATATTGACACTAGGATATTACGTAGGAGCTGAGCTGAGATCTAAGTTTACAGGCAGATTAATCAATTCACAGGTGTACTGCAGCATTGTCCTAGGCTGAGGAGGTGAGTGTTCGTTAATTTGCTCAATAAATATTAAAAGAACATCTTTCTCATAAGAGATATTAAGAGTAGTTTTCAAGCCTTGCTATGTGAAGCTTACATGGTAAAGAAAGACACACATTAAACAATTAATTAGACAGATAATTACTTAGTTACAATGATGATCTGTGCTAATGGAAAGAATAAGATAATGTTAGCCTAAGTAACAGAGAGAGGCTCTCTTAAAGAAAATGATATTTATTCAGGAATAGGGAATTGCAATGGGAATACATATGCCACAGTAGACGATGTGCATATTCAGGAAGGTAAAGGAAGATAAAGGTTTTCAAAGGAAAATTGTTTTAAGATAACTAACTTTTGCTACAAGGATCAATAACAAGGGTGGATGGGCAGTTGCTAGGCAAATGTCCTCACAGAAGTATTCTTATGTTAAGGTTGCAATGGCCACTGGGCCAGGTTATGCCTTTTAAGAAAGTTAGTACGTTTATGTTCTTATTTTAAAATGGAGTTTCTCTTTTAAAATCATATAAAAGCTACTACAAGAACAATAGCAATAGCAGAATGTTTATCATAAAGACTTTTCCACTTCCCCAGGACGAGGGCCATTTTTATAGACAGGTATATATCTCTGATTCCACTGTTTAAGAGTAGCTGAATATTTCTTATATGAAATAAAATTTCCATCAAGTGTAGCTTGAGAAAAACTTCAGATTATATCTTTCTTATGTAATGCATGAACTGTATTCTCTCAAGGTTTTTACGAAGCTGAAAAGAATTTTAATGATACCTGATTTCAACCCAAACAAGATAGCTTTGGTTTCTGTTGCTTGCTGCTCTATGTGCCAGTGGGTTATAGCTTTGAATAACTACCATGAAGCACAGAAGGTATGCTTTTCCCTCCTACATATCTGTAGAGATTTAGAAGTGATACATCAAAGTCCCAGAAATAATTTTTCCTTTCACAATGTTCAAATGAACTTCTGTGGAAAAAATATCTAATGAAAAAACACTTTAATTGGTTCAACGTCTGTGGCTCAACAGCTAGAGCGCTAGCCACATATACTGGAGTTGACGGGTTTGAATCCAGCCTGGGCCTGCCAAACAACAACTACAACCAAAAAATAGCTGGGCACTGTGGCAGGCTCCTGTAATCTCAGCTACTTGGGAGGCTGAGGCAAGAGAATCGCTTAAGCCCAAGAGTTTGAGGTTGCTGTGAGCTGTGCCACCATGGCACTCTACCCAGGGTGACATAGTGAGACTCTGTCTCAAAAAAAAAAAAAAAAAACTTTAATTGGATATGTTAACTAATGCTAACTAATAGATTAGTCATGCTCCTGCGAATTAATTATCATACTCCTAATAGATTCTTTTTTATTTATGACAACTGTGTTATCAAATAAGAGCATAGTAGTTTGTTTTAATAGCTTTCACCATAACATCCCACTTGTAAACATGATTACACATTTATTTTAAAGTTTATTTAAAAGGTTCATTTTAATAGTTGACACTTGTCTTTCTTTTTGCATAGTTTAATTTTTATTTTTAATTGTTATGGGTGCATTATAGTTACATTTTTTTAAATAGTATATGTGATGTTTTGAAACAGGCATATATAATGTGAATTAATCAAATCAGGGTAATTGGAGTATCCATAACCTCAGGCATCTATCACTTCTTTATGTTAGGAGCATTCCAATTCTACTCTTTTAGTTATCTTAACTAACTTATCATTAGCATTTTTTCATATACCGGTTAGCCATTTGTATATCTTCTTTTCAGAAATGTCTATTAAGATCCTATGCCCATGTTTAATTGGATTATGTGATTTTTTTCCTATTGAGTTGTTTTAATTCCTTATATATTCTGGTTATTAATCTCTTGTCAGATGAGTAGTTTGAAGATATTTTCTCCCATACGGTGGGCTGTCTCTTCACTTTGTTAATGGCCTCCTTTGCTGTACAGAAGCTTTTTAGCTTGGTGTCATTTCATTTCTTTAACTTTCGTTGCCTGTGCTTTGGGGGTATTACTCAAGAAGTCCTTGCCCAGACCAATGTCCTAAGTGTTTCTCCAATGACTTTTTTAGTAATTTCATAGTTTCAGGTCTTAGATTTAAGTTGTCAATCCATTTTAATTTGATTTTTGTACCTAGGAAGAGAGATGGGTCTAGTTTCATTCTTCTGCACCATTTATTGAAGAGACTGTCTATTTCCCAATGTATGTTCTTGGAATCTCTGTCAGGGATAAATTCACTATAGATGTGTGGATTTATTTCTGATTTTTCTATTCTGTTCCATTTGTGTCTATTTTTATGCATGTACCATGCTGTTTTTTCTACTTCCCCAGTACTAGGGCCTTTTTTGTGGCCAGGTATTTATCTCTGATTCCACTGTTGAAGAATGTTCGAATATTTCTTATATGAAATAAAATTTCAGTTGAGTGTAGATTGAGAAAAACTTCACATTATATCTTTCTCATGTTATGCGTGAGAATGTAATGTATTTTTATTTGTTGCACAAATGTTAATATAACAGCAGGTACCAGACATTGTCCTAAGTACTTTATAAATATTAATTCACAAGGGAGGAGAATTAAGGTTCAGGGGGGAAAAAAGTAAAGAAAAAGTGAAGTATCCTGGAAACTCTACTAAAGGGTTTTACTGGAGCTGATTTAATTTAAAAGAATATAAATTTATTGTAAGATTTCAAACAGGGAGAGAGCAGAGCCAAAGCCCTGGGCAGGCAGGAAACTTCAAGGTGCTGGTAGTGTGGTGGACTAGTGAGTTTTGTAAAAAGGAGCATGGCAAAGTAGGCAGGAGCCTACAAAGGCCTGGACCAAGGCATTATAGATAGAAGTGGGGAAAAGGCCAAATGCCGTGATGCAGCCACAGCCAAGCAACTCCTGCGAACACCAGAAGTTGGGAGAAGAAAAGAATAGATTCTCTCCAAGAGCACTCCAAGGAAATATTACAGCTTGATTTCAAATTCTATCCTCTAGAACAGTGAGGGAATAAACTCTTGTACTACAGCTCTGTAGTATAATTTGAAATCAGGTAATGTGATTCCTCCAGTTTTATTCTTTTTACTTAGGATGAATTTAGCTGGTCTGGATCTTTTGTGGTTCCACATAAATTTTAGGATTATTTATTCCATTTCTGTGAAGAATGTCACTAGAATTTTGTTGAGAATTGAACTGAATCTGTAGATTGCTTTGGGTAGTATGGCCATTTGTGCACTACGAACAATATTGATTGTTCCAGAATATGAGCAAGGAAAATATTTCCATTGTTTTGTCCTCTGCAATTTCTTTCATCAATATTTTATAGTTTACATATCTTTTACTTCTTGGTTAAGTTTATTCCTAGGTATTTTATTTTATTTATAGTCATTGTAAACAGGATTACTTTCTTGGTTCCGTTTTGAGATTGTTGACAGATTTTGTATGTTGATTTTGTATATAGCCTGCAACTTTACTACATAACTTCATCAATGCTAAAAGTTTTATGGAGTCTTTAGATATAAGATCAGATCATCTGCAAATAAGGATAATTTGACTTCTTTCTTTTCAATTTGGATGGTCTTTATTTCTTTTTCTTGTCTGACTGCTCTAGCTAGAACTTCCAGTACTATGTTGAATAACAGCAGTAAAAGTAAACATCCATGTCTTGTTCCAGATCTCAGAGGAAAGAAAGGTTTTCAGTTTTCCCGCATCCAATCTAATACTAGCAGCAGGTCTGTCACTTATGGCTTTTATTGTGTTGAGGTAAATTGCTCCTATGCCCAGTTTTTTGAGAGTTTGTATCATGAAGAGATATTGAATTTTATCGAATGCACTTCAGTTGAAATGATCATATGGTTTTTGTCCTTTCTGTTGATATGATACATCACATTGATTGTGTATATTAAAGTATCCTTGCATGACAGACAATCCCACTTGATCATGATGAATAAACTTTTTAATATGTTGTTGAATCAATTTGTTAGTATTTTGTTGAGGATTTTTGCATCTATGTTCATCAAAGATATTAGCCTATTATTTTCTTTTTTGTTGTTGTGTCTTTGGTTCTTTTATTAAATTGTAAACACATAGCCCATGTATACATTAATGTATTTATGGGGTATAAGGTGCTTATTTCATATAGAATTAGGAATGCTTACATTACACTGGTTAATATATACCTCATCTTGTTCACTTAATTATTATGTTAAGACATTTATACTCTATACTTAATAGATCATATCAGAGTGCTATAGGCAGTGTAGAATGAGTTTAGAAGTATTTCCTCCTTCTCAATTTTTTATAATACTTGAAGTAGGATTAGTATTACTTCTTCATTGAATGCTTGGTAGAATTCAGCAGTAAAGCCATCAGGTCCTGGGTTTTTCTTTGATGGAAGATTTTTTGTTACTGCTTCTGTCTCATTACTTGCTATTGTTTTGTTAAGTTTTGGATTTCATTCTGGTTCAATTTTGGTAAATTCCATGTGTCTAGGAATTTATACATTTCTTCTAGGTCTTCTAATTCATAAAGTTACTCACAGTAGTCTCTAAGAGTCCTTTGGATTTCTATAGTATCAGTTGTAATGTCCTTCTACATCTATTATTTTATTTATTTGATTTTCTCTCTTTTTTTTTTTAGTCATGCTATAAGTTGTCAATTTCATTTATCCTTTTTAAAAAACAACTTTTATTTCTTTCATATTTTGTAATTTTTGTTTTAGTTTCATTTATTTCTGCTCTCATCTTTATTATTTCTTTTCTTCTACTAATTTGGAGTTAGACTTGCTCTTGTTTTTCTAGTCTTATGAGATGCACAGTTAGGTTTTTTATTTGATGCTTTTCTATTTTTTTAATCAGGCACTTATTTCTGTAACTGTTCCTCTTATTACTGCTTTTGCTGTATCCCATAGATTTTGATAATGTTATGTTTTTGTTTTCATTTATTTTGAAAACTTTTTCAATTGCTTTCTTTCTTAATCTCTTAATTGATCCACTGGTCATCCAAGAGCATATTGTTTAATTTCCATGTGTTAGTATAGTTTCAAGTGTTCTTCTTGATTTTTAGTTTTATTCCATTGTGATCGGATTTCAATTTTTTTTCAAAACTTGTTTTATGGCCTGTCCATATAACAAACATATGGTCTGTCCTTGAGAATGATCCATGAGCTGATGAAAAGAATGTGTATGCTGTGGCTAATTACATGAGATGTTCTATAAATATTGTTAAGGTCTGTTTGATATACAGTGCAGATTAAGTCCAATGGTTTCTTTATTGATTTTCTATCTTGATGGTATGAAAGTGGAATGTTGAAGTCTCCACTGATTATTATACTAGGGTCTATCTTTAGCTCTGATAATATTTGCTTTCTATATCTAACTGCTCCAATGTTGGATAAACACATATTTAAATTGTTATATCCTCTTGCTGAATTGACTCCTTTATAATTTTTTGACTCTTTTTACAGTTTTTATCTTGAAATCTGTTTTATCTGATAGATATAAATAGCTACTCTCAATCTTTTTTAGATTTCCATTTGTGTGGAATATTTTTTCCCTACCTTTATTTTCAGTCTGTGTGTGTCCTTATAGGTGAAGTGGGTTTCTTGCAGACAACATATACTTGGCTCTTGTTTTTTCATCCAATCCACCACGCTATGTCTTTTGATAACAGAGTTTAGTCCATTTGCAGTCAATGTTATAATTGATAGGTAAGGGCACACTACTCCCATATTGTTATTTGATATCTGGTTATGCTACAGTCCTCTCTTTCTTACTTCCCTCCTGTCTTCCTCTATTAAAAAGAATTTTCCCTGCTAGTGTGTTTTAATTTCTTGATTTTTACTTTTTGATCTTTTGTGGGTTTTTTGATTTGAGATTACCATAAGACTTGCAAAACCATTTTATAATGAATTATTTTAAACAAATGACAACTCTGCTTATAAACAAAGAAACAATGAGAAATCCAACAAAAATTCTATCCTTTAACTCCACCCCCTTGCTTTTTAACCTTTGTTGTCTTTTAGTCTTCCTACTCAAGATGTAAGTAGTTTATACACCCTATTGCAGCAACAGGATATTCTATGTTTTGTACTTACTGTTACCAGTGAGTTGAATACCTTCAGATGATTTCTTACTATTTGTTAGCCTCTTTTTCTTTTAGTGTTAAGAACTCCTTTTAGCATTTTTTATAGGACAAGTCTGGTGTTGGTGAAATTCCTTAGCTTTTGTTTGTCTAAGAAAGTGTTTATTTCTTCTATATGTTTGAAGAATATTTTTGCAAGATATAATATTATAAGGTTATTTTTTTCCTTTGATTATGTCATCCCACTCTCTCCTGGTCTATAAGGTTTCCACTGAAAATTCTGCTATCAGATTGAAGCTGGTATTGAAACTCCCTTATATGTTACTTTCTTTCATCTTTCTTACTTCCCTTAGAAACTTTTCTTTATTTGTGACCTTCGAGAGCTTGATTATTAAATTCCTTGAGGTATTCTTGTTTGAGAGGTATTCTACTTTATATTCTATGACCTTCCTACACCTAAATATTGATATCTTTCTTTAGGTTTAGATAATTCTCTGTTATTTCTCTGAATAAACTTTATGCCCCAGTTTCTCTCAACTTCCTCTTTAAGCCTACTAACTCTTAGATTTGCCCTTTTAGGGATATTTTCTAGATCTTATAGACATACTTCCTTCTTTTTTATTCTTTTTTCCCCTCTATGTGTTTCAAATACCCTGTCTTTAAGCCAATTCTTTCTTCTGCTTGGTCAATTCTACTATTGAGAGATTCTAATGTTATTCTCAGTTTGTCAGTTTGAAATCTTAAACTCCAGAATTTCTGCTTGATTTTCTTTTTTCATTATTTAAAACTCTTTGTTAAATTTCTCTGATAGGCTTCTGAATTCCTTCTCTGTGATGTCTTGAAGTTCACTGAGCTTCTTCAGGACAGAGATTTTGGATTCTTTGTCTGAAAGTTCGCATATCTCCATGACTCCAGAACTGGTCACTAGTACTTTGGTTAGTGCATTTGGTGAGGCTGTGTTTTCTCAGATGTTCTTGAAGCTTGTGGATATTTGTCAATGTCAGGGCATTGAAGAGTTAGGTATTTATGTTAATCTTCACAGTCTGAACTTATTTGAATCCATCCTTCTTGAGAAAGCTTTCCCCATGTATTCAAAAGGAATTGAGTATTATACTCTAAATCTTTGGGTACAGCAGCTATATCACCACTGGGGGTAACCCATGCCTAGTAATGCTGTGATTCTTGCAGACTGCTGGTATACTGCCTTAATGGACGTAGGTAAGATACAAGAACATTCCCTCGATTACCAGGTAAAGCCACTCATTCTCTTCCCTCACCTTTTAAGCTGGGTTGCTAGAGTTGAGAGAGGATTGATGTGAGCACTACCTCATTGCCCAAGCACCAGGTCATCCCTGAAGCCAGCCCAATGTCACACAAATTCTGTGATGACTATTTTCTGGCTGCCTCTGATGTTTCTTCAAAACTCAAAGGTTCTCTAGTCAGGAAGTGGTGAATCCTGCCATGACTGTCTTCTTCCCTTCATCGCAGCATATTTCCTTCTGGTCGTGGGTGGGTCCAGAAATTACTTCCAGGAACTATGGCCTAAACTTCTGACATCTGCTTGATACTTTATTTTACTGTGGCTGAGCTAGCACCCAACTTACAAAACAAAGTCCTCTAGGCTCTTCCCTTTCCATTCCTCAAGTGCATGAAGACTCTCCTGAGCTGCACTGCCTATAGTCAGAGGAGAGGTGACACAGGCCCTGGGTTGGCCACCCTTACTAGTGTCTCACTAGGTCATATGCACCCCAAGTCCACTGACCCCGAACCAGCACCACCACAGAAATTGCCAAAGGATTGCAGCCTTTGTAACCTGACTGCCTTAAGAATTTAGTCCAAACCCTCAGGCCGCTTTTTCTTAGCTAGTGATGGTACTAGCCAGAACTCAAGTTTTGGGACAGAGTTTTTCTCTCTGGCCAGGCTGGTCTAACTACTCCCTCCATGAACACTGGCAGAATTATACCACATGCTGTGTTCCCCTTCTGCCAGGGTGGCCCTGAGTTTCAGTGCAAATTCCATAATCACTTTACTCTTCCTTTTCTGGGCATACAGTTTCTCCACTTGGAGTGTTGGCATGGCACTGCTGGATGGGGAAAGGGTGGTGTAGGTGAGGCAAGATTGTTTTTTCTACCATCTTCAATGCTTCTTTATTTGATATAATATTAAAACCAGTTAGTGTAATCACTCATCTGATTTCCCCCCTATAAATGCATCTCAAATATAAGTGACATTTTTAACAGTAAACCTCACTTTTTTGATAATTAAACGTTCTGACATTCTCTTTAAGCTGGTGGTCCCTAAACAAATTCAAGTAGCTGAAGCTCAAAATGCCCTTAAAGTTGCACGACAACGATTGGCGGAAAAACAAAGAGGTTTACAGCTGGTGAGTGTTATTGTACTTGTTAAATCTCAATGCATTTATAAACTAGACAAAAAATTTCGGGGAAAAGTCATTATGTTAGTAGAGTTTATCAGTTAAAGATAAAATGGGGATAGTATGTGGAAAGAAGAGATTAATTATGAGAATTAAGTAAATGATGTAGATGCTATATGTAAAGTTCTAGGGCTTGCCCCATAATAAAAGACTATGATGTTAATTATCATTGTTTTAATAAAATTTTAATTTACCATTTCACCAAATTTCTCCCAAGAGATCATTATAACTTCATTTTACCAAAGACTTAAATAGTACCAATCTGTGTTCTTAAAAAATCTGTACTTCACTTGTTTATATCAATTATCTATTGCTTTGTAAAAGCATGATTATTTCTTAAATGTCTTGATTTTAAATTAAGAGTATCGTTATCATTATGAAAACTAGAATTAAAATTGATATCCCTGTCACCTATTTAGCTCACATGCATTTTGAGAGTGGGTAAAGTAATATACTTAAGAGATGGTGCGCTAGCCTGCAAATCCAATCCACTGACATCTTTTGGCCTATCCAGTCTACTCTCTTCTTACCTTCATGTTTTGATGAAGGTTTCAACATTTAAAAATTGGGAGATTTCATTTTATATCTGAATTTCTGTCTTCTCTTTGAAAACTTAGAAGGTCTAGCAACCTGGGCTAGTATTCTCATTTGGCTATAATCAGCCCCACCCACTTCAAACATTTATGTTACCTACCTGGGCCAATAGCCATTTCTTGCAAATTCAAATATGTAAAATTAATTAGACACTTTTGAAGGAAATAAATTAAAATTGAATTTACTTTATTTTGATGTATCACTTTATTGCTAATACTTTATTATATCTTATATTTTATATAGTTTTATTTTGATAGGTTCTGATAATAGCTAACACATATTGAATACTTGCTATGTGACAAGAACATAGTGTTAGTGTTTTATATATATTTTGTTATTTAATCTTCAAAACAACATTCAGAAGTAGATGTTTAAAATTGAAGAAAATAAATTTGAAAGAACTTAATTTGTTGAAGACCTCAAACTACATGAATGATGCCCACATTTTAACCCAGGTCTAACTCTAAACCTGATGCACTTAACTATGACACTACAATAGCACTTAGCTATGACACTATAACATATTTCTATCCAGGAGTAATATATTTTTATTCAAAATATTTAGCAACCAGTGGGGCACAGGCACCAAGCAATCAGAACGAACACTTGCCCTGAGGTAGAAGCAGAGTCTTAGATGTGGCTGGCTGAGTTTAAAAAGAAGGTATAGGCCCAAGGTGGTCAGTGCCTGCATGCAGAGGAGTTCCCTGGATCATGGGGCAGAACCATTTAGCAATCACTACAAAAATACGCCAACATTTTAAAAATTATGATGCCTGCATGGTGTATAACACTTAATATTAAAGCTATTTCCATCTCACACAAAAATTAATGAATGAAATAGACCTACAAAAGAAATATTTTCTTCAAAATTTTTAAGAAAACTATTAAACATTATAAAATTTGAGGAAATAGAGCATTCAAGAAATAATAATTTTTAATTTAACAAAAGTGTCTTGTTCTTTTTTATAACAATCACTAGAACCTCTTTGTAAATAATTTAAAAACCTGAATAATATGCCTTGTTTTCCAGGACATTTTTAGTCACTAAATGTCAATTTTTTAAAAAATTGAAAGCTTAAACAAACCAAAAATCATGGATTTTAAAAGGTAGGACAGATAGAACACCAGAGAGAAGAAAAAGAATTAGAAAATTTGAATAACACCAACCAACTAGACCTAACAGACATATATACACAAAACTGTACCCAACAACAACAGCATACACATTCTTTTCAAGCATACATAAAATATTCTCCATGATAGACCATATGGCAGGACACAAAATGTCTCAACATATTGCATAGAAAGTATCTTCTCTGACCACAATAGAATGAAGTTTGAAATAAATAACAGGAAAAAATGAGAAATTAACAATATTTGAAAATTAAACAAAATATTCTTAAGTAACCAATGGGCCAAAGAAAAAAAATCACAAGGGAAATTACAAATGAAAATGAGATGCAACATACCAAAACTTATGGGATACAGCAAAGGCATTACCCAAAGAGAAATTTCTAGCTGTAAATGCCTAAATTAAAAAATAAGAAAGTTCTCAAATCAATAGCATAACTGTATGCCTCAAGGAACTAGACAAAGAAAAATAAGCTAGAACCAAAGTTAGCAAAAATAAATAAATAATAAAGAGTAAAGCAGAGATCAACAAAATAGAGACTTTAAAAGTACAGAAAATCAATGAAACCAAAAGTCGGCTCTTTGAAAAGATTATTAAAACTAACAATCTCTAGACAAAGAAAGAATTTACAAACTTGAAAACAGGTTTTTTGAAATAACTCTATCAGACAAAAAAAAAAAAAGAGTTCTTTTCTTTTTTTGGAGACAGAGTCTCACTTTGTCACCCTTGGTAGAATACTACAAAAGAAATATTTTCTTCAAAATTTTTGGCATCACACCTCACAGCAACCTCCAACTCTCGGTCTTAAGTGATTCTCTTGCCTCAGCCTCCCAAGAAGCTGGGGCTACAGGCACCGCCCACAATGCCCAGCCATTTGTTGGTTGCAGTTGTTGTTGCTTGGCAGGCCTGGTCTGGATTCAAACCCACCAGCTCTGGTTTATGTGGCTGGCGCCTTTAGCCATGGAGCTACAGGCACTGAGCCAAAAAAAAAAGAGTTTAAGTGAATGGAGAAAACATACTGAACAAATGAGACAAATATTTGAAAAAAAATTCAAATTTGGGGAGTTCCAGCAGAAAAAGAAATAAAGGCATAGAAAACCTACTTAATGAAATAGAAGCTGAAAATCTCCCAAGTCTTGAAAAAGATACTGATATCCAGATTCGGGAAGCTCAAATTCCCCAAACATATTAAATCCAAGTAGATCCTCTCTAAGACACATTTTCAAACTGTCAAAAGTCAGAGACAAAGAGCGAATTCTAAAAACAGCAAAAGAAAAGCATCAGTCATATATAAGGAAATTCCCATGAGAATAACGGAATATTTCTCAGCAGAAATTTTACAAGCTAGGAGAGAAGGAGACGATATATTCAAATTATTAAAAGAAAAAAAAACTTCTGGTCAAGAATATTATACCTTCTTCAGAAATGCAGAAATAAAATTTTTCCCAACAAGCAAAAACCAAGAGAATCCATCACTAGACAAACCCTAAAAGAAATGCTTAAGAAATTTCTACATCTGGAAATGAAAGAATGATATCTACCATCAGGAAAATACATGAAAATATAAAACCCACTAATAAAGTAGATACATAGACAAAGAAGAAAGAGAATTGGATGTTATTACTATAGAAAACCATTAAATCACAAAGATATAAGAGAGAAATAAAACAAAATGTATACAGAACAATCTAAAACCAATTAACAAAATGACATAAGTCTTTACCTATCAATAACAGTCTTGAGGGGGAGGGGCAAGATGGCCAACTGGAGCCAACTTCCTACAGAAGCTTCCATCCAGAGTAGGGTGACCAGATTTTAACATCAGTAAGGCAGGAAAACATGGCGGGGGGGGGGGGTGGTCAGGGCAGGGCCTGACAACAATGCAAACTTTGATAAGCAGTTCTCGATAATCACTTCTCAGCAATTATTTGTTATCATTACAGTTTAACATTATAAAATTAACAAAAATAATATAAAACTCATATTCTGGCGAAATAGCCACATGGCAGCCGAAAATCGTATATCCCCTTCCTGTTCTCCCACCCGTTCGTACATTCTTTCCAAAAATAGGGACTTTTTTAAAATGCAGCAGGACTCGGGACAAATTGTTGAAAAGCGGGACGTCTGGTCACCCTAATCTAGAGGGAAGGATAATGTCCAGAAAGTACCCAATTAAGCTGAAGACTGGGAGCAGAGCCAAGAGAGAACAGTGATATGTGCAGGTCACCTCTGCTGAAGCAAGCTGGACTCCAAGAAAACAAACTTAAGGTACAAAATTCATCCCAAAAGAAAAGTGTCCATCCTTTCCCCCAATAAAGTTGTGTTGTTGTTGTTTTTTTCTTTTTCTCTTCATTTGCTCCTGTAGGTTTTCTACAGGCAAGCGGTGAACTGAGGACCTCTTATCTCACCCCACAGTAAGGGCTATAGGAAGTGGGATCTACTTCCCTAGAGGGACCATGTTGTGACTCTGAACTCTCTCTTGCCAGGCAGAAAAATTGAACTAACATTTTTCCAGCCATCCTGAACCTCCAGTCCACCCATCCCCCCTTGCCTAACAAATCAGAAGCCTAACCCCTGCAGAGACTGTGAGAGGAGGCTCAAGAGCAGCAACCACCACCCCACCAAGCACCCCACCCTCTGCCTGGCCAGAGCTTCCTACAGCCATGCTTCCCACACCCTGTCCCCTGCACCTTCCCTGCCTCCATGCTGTACACCTCTTGTATCTTCTCAGACCATCATGGAATAAAAGCTGAACTCAGTAACACAGGAATCTGCATACTCATAGAAAAACATGAAAACTAAATAACCTTATGCTGAATGATAGCTGGGTCATAGATGAGATTAAGAAGGGAATTACCAAATTTTTGGAACAAAACAGTAATGAAGTCATGAACTATCAGAACCTCTGGGATACTGCAAAGGCAGTCCCAAGAGGGAAATTTATAGCACTGCAAGCCTTCCTCAAGAGAATGGAAAGAGAGGAAGTCAACAACTTAATGGGACATCGCAAGCAACTGGAAAAGGAAGAACATTCCAACCCTAAACCCAGCAGAAGAAAAGAAATAACTAAAATTAGAGCAGAACTAAATGAAATTGAAAACAAAAGAATCGTACAATGGATCAACCAATCTAAGAGTTGGTTTTTTGAATAGGTCAATAAAATAGATAAACCTTTGGCTAACCTAACCAGAAGTAGAAGAGTAAAATCCCTAATTTCATCAAT